GCTCTGTAATATAATATTGATTTACATTCCATTCTAATAGATTTGCAATTACTTAATTTTATATGATGAAAAAAATAGTATTTGCTTTACCCTGCATATATTTGAAAACATTGATATATTAGCTCATCTGTTTTTGCTCAGAAATATCTTTGAATGAAATATGAGTTTATCCATTCAATTTGGTTATTTCTAATTTTTTTACTTTAATGGTATAAATATTTGTGTATAATTGTTTTTATGGACATAATTTTCATGTGCCTCTGTCGATTCATTGCACAGTGTGAGTTGTAGGAGAGGTGAATGTTTAACTTACAGAGATTAGCAATTTGTAGTCAACATCGATTGTACTTTTTTGCATTCCTCCAGCAGTGTGTGAGGAACTCACTTCATCCACATGCTAGAAAGTATTTGGTTTGGTCAATCTTTTTCCATTGAAACTTTTTTTTTTAACATTGTAGTTCTATCCTACTGTTGTTGGATTGTATTTTTCTAAGGATTCATGGTGAGCTTTTTCTCAGGTTTGTATTTGCTATGACTCTATGTTTGCTGAATTGTCTGAGCCTGTGTTCTGGCTAATCTGATACGAGGTTGGGGAAGTTTTCTATAACAAAACAACAAAGAAGAAACAACAAAGATCCATGTTAAAATTTCACTCATTTGATGACTTTCTTTTTAAAATCTATTTTATTTTGGACTGATGTGTTCAATTACTTTTTACTTTTTTTAATGCTATGCATGATGAAACAGACACTTTTCATTTTAACCTTGACTATTAACATTCTTATTTTCAAAAGTCTAGTCATTTGGTAATAAATAATCTTTTGCATTCTATTGTTACCCCATTTTCTGGTCTCCTTTCATGGGTAATTTTGTGTTGGAAAATGACTCAAGAAGACCAGATAGCACCAGGATGAGCAGGGTGTTTTGGAGTCTGAGAGCCCAGTGCAGAGGGAAATAGGAGGGCATTGATCAGACTCGTTATGGGTCAGGCACCCTGGGTTTGAATCCCAGCTTCCCGAGTATCTTTGGGACTCAGGAAATACATCTCTTGTCGACTGGGGTTCAGTTTTCTCCTCTTTAAAATGGATATGTAGCATGTCTGCATCCCCAAGCTCTCAGAGGAGGTGAAGTGCTGAGGTCTCCTTTCACAGTGCTGCCGCTGTGCCTCCAGGCTCCTGGGCTGGAGCAATTCCCACTTCTACCTGCAGAGATACTCCCAAACTAGGCACTTCTCACTCCCCCGGTGCCCACTAGCACCTTATTTCTGGGTGTGGATTTGATTAGGAAATCAGGCTTTTAAGAACCTACTGACCCTTCTGCAGGAAGGTGGGTTCTGTGGGCACTGACCCTTCAGTGTGCTGTCCCAACCAGGGAATGTCTTGGTAACTCCCTAGAGCTCCCTGAATCTAAGTCAGCTGAATGTGATGAGCAAAAGAGGATGGCACTTACCTTTGATCCTCAAAGATCAATGAAGGAGACAAATATTTATCATTGTAAGGATTTTAGGATCTGCATTTCCACATTTGCTCTTTTAATTGTCCCAACAACCTTGGGAGTGGAAACATATCAAATGGCTGGAATCATCCACAATTAAAGAAATGAGCTAGGTTCTCTGAGTTTACTCAACAAATGTGAGATTGAAGAGCCTGAATTTCAACTCAGCGTTTTGGCTCCAGAGACACATTCTCCACCACAAATGCGAGGGCCTCCCTGGAGCACATACACTGCCTCACAGTGTATGGTCCTCACCAGGGATGCTCTGCTGAAGCTGCTCTTTCCATTGATGCAGTTACCATGGTCCTCCCTCTATTTTCCTAAAATTTCAGAACGCACTGCCTGCCCTTCTGTCTCCACCGGAATGGCATCATCTCTCAGCTCCTGTGGTTTCTTCAGAGGCATATTCTTTGAGGCTGACCTACAGTGTTTTCACCTTTCTTTTGATCTCAGCGTGGAGTTTGACACCCAGGAGCGCTGGGTAATTTGGGCTGAGTCTCTGTACCCACCTGTTCTGAACTCATGTTTTCCTTTGCAGCCTACTTGTGTCTGCACAAGTGATCTTTATGTTGAAATGCAGTTTTTGTTTTACTTTTGTTTATAACACAAACTGACCCCAGCAGCCAGAACGCACTGCCCACAACTGAGATACAAATACACATTTTAGGATACAATACATATATAAGCAAAAATAATTGTAGGTCATTTTTAAGAGAATAGTAAGAATGGTCACAGCTAAACATGCCCAAATGAAAGAACAGATCAAAGCTCCAGAACAAGAGCTAAACAAAATGGACATAAGCAATCTATCAGATGGAGAGTTCAAAAGATGTTTATAAGATACTCAAGAAACTTAGGACATCAGCATCATAAAAAAGACCCAGTCAGAAACAAAGGATACTGCCGCGGCCCACGTGGAGCGGTGGTCCCTGAGTGGGGGCGACGGGAGATTGAGAAAGAGACAACACAAAAACATAAGACAGTTTAGAGAAAAGTGGGGTCCAGGCGGGACATTGTCCTCTGATGGAGAGACAAAGACAATGACCACGGTCTCTGCGTTTATTTTATAGGTGTTGGTTAGATAAAGCTCAAGGGAGTTTTGCAGACTTAGGGGAATGCTGTGGGCACGGATCTTTCCGTTCCCAGGTTATCTACATGATAAAACTTTCTTCTGCAAAGTTTTCAGTCGTCTTCAGCTGAAGTTTGTGGTCATCTACTCCCTTCTCAACACCCCCACCCCTGGGGTTCGGGCTGCTGCCAGTTGCCAGCTTGCTCTGCCTTGCAGATACAAGCGGTCAAGCATGGCCTTGCCAAGCGCTTAACCTGGCTTTTGACGTCAGCCTTCACAGCCCCCTACAGGATAAACTATTTGAAATAATGAACAATTTACAGAGAAACAACAGAAGATTGCATGAAGCTGAGAATAAAATCAATGATTTGGAACATAAGGAAGCACAAATCAACCACACAGAAGAAGAAGAAAAAAGAATTGAAAAATTGGGAATAATATAAAGAGCCTCTGGGACAACTTCAAGAGGTTCAACATTAGCATTATAGGAGTGCCAGAAGAAGAGAAAGCAAGAAATTGAAAGTCTATCTGAAAAAAATAGTTAAAGGCAACTTCTCTAATTTAGTGAAGGCAATAGACATGCAAGTCCAGGAAGCACAGAGTTCCAATTACGATGGATGCGAAGAGGCACACTCCAAGACACATGATAAATAAAAGGCAAAAGATAAAGAGAGACTCTAAAACGCAGCAAGAGAAAAGAAGATAGTTACCAGAAGGTGGCCAGGTGGGGAGAGAGGGGGAGAATGGGTGAAGAGGTGAGGGAATTCAGAAGTACAAATAGGTAGTTATAGAATAGCCATGCAGATATAAACTACAGTACAGGAAATGCAGTAGCCAAAGCACTTGTACGCAGGACTCTTGGACATGAATAATGGTGGTGGATTGCCTGAGGGGGTAGGTGGCACTGGGTGGAGGGGGGCAAAGGGGAGAAAATCAGGACAGCTGTAATAGCATAATCAATAAATAGCATAATCAAAATTTTTTTGAAATATAATTAAAAAAACACAATATATGGTATTATACTAAATTGTTTGGCAATAAGTGATGTGGAAACACACACTGAGCAGCACTCATAAATGACAAGCATGTAGATCCTGACGATTTTAATAACACACCTTTAAAAGAGGAGAGAGAGGTTGGATTTAACGGGGAAAGATGTTTCATGGTCAGGAAACGCTGTACAGCATTACTCTGCCAGGATTCAGCTGACAGTGTTGGATCACTCCTATGATCATTGTGCCAGTTTCAGGGTGCTAGAGATTATGTTCTTTTAGAAGAGATTCCTATAAATTCTGGTAAGTTTTACATTTTTTTCAACTTCTCTATTACAACACTTAGTTTTAGTGTTTTTGAAATTTTGGTTTATATTTCAGTGTCATGTTTGTTCTGAAATTTAAAATAGGAGAAGCCTTTTACCTAATTATAATTGAATTTAATGTTTATTGCACATACACATACTCATAACTACTTGACAGTTATAATAGTTACGTGATTTAATTTGAAAAGTTTCTGAGCTATAAATAGGTAAATTTTCATTATAAATACATACTTCTCCTGGCTGATGTGGCTCAGTGGACTGACTGCCAGTCTGAGAGCCAGGGTGGTTGGTTCAATTCCCAGTTTAAGGCACATGCCTGGGTTGCAGGCCAGGTCCCCAGTAGGGGGCACGCGAGAGGCAACCATGCATGATGTTTCTCCCCCTCTATCTCTTTCCCTCTCTAAAAATATATACATACATACATACTTCATTTACGCTAAGTATAATTTATAAATGTTTGTAATCTGAACGCATTGAGAATGCCTGAAATATTTCACGTCAAGTACAAATTCACTACGATAGATACAATAAGATTTACATATTAGCAAAAACACCAGTAACTGTTAGAATTCAATTCTCCCACTTCAAAAAAATGTATGTCTTAATTGACGTTCAAACTATAAAATTCCATTTAATGTTATTAGGTATCTTCTTGTTTCCTTCAAAGGTTTGTCTTACAGTTTTGTGTTGTATTTGTTACATACATAAATGATGGGTTAAGTAGGTCATTTGTGTGCGAAAATTTTCCGGACTCTGAAATGTAGGCACACATCTTTTATTATGGCTCGTTGTATTGGACTCACAGATAATGTGTCTTTATTAATTTGGACTCAAGCCTCTTCACCAGGAAAAGATGACAATTTTCATTAGCCATTTTCAAGATGTGTCTTTCCTGACGACCTGTAGTTTACCAGCTGCCCAAGTTGCGGATCTTGGTCTTTTCTGCTGGAGCCAAGTGAAAACCCCGGATCGCGCAGCGTTGGAGTCTCAGACCCAAATTACCCATAACATCCTGACAGGAATACCTCCACGCTTAACCAATGAAGGGTCAGGAAAGGCATTTCCGTTGGGACTCACCGGCTGGGGCGGGACTTCCGGCGTCTTTCTGCAGCGGGCATTTTGTTTCGGCCTTTAATCTGCTCAAGTTCGTGCTCAGAAGCTCGAGATCGCTGGGTGCTGGTGGAGATGCCGGTGCGAGGAAGACGCCAAAGTCGCGGCCCACACAGCACACACAATGGTGAGAAGCGGCGCGACACTGCCCCTGTGACCCGCGCCAGGGCCAGGACAGGGGCGGTCAAGGCGGGAGCGTCCTCCTGTACCTCTGCTATCTCCCCGTCTCTCCCACAGCGTCCGTTGGCGGCCTTGCTGAGACGCCCGGCTGAGGTAAGTGCAGTTCCCCTCAAATCTCCACCTCCATCACAGCCTCGCCACAGCGAACCCTACATCCAGGTGTACGAGCGTCCTTACGCCTGGGTCCCGCGTGGAGGACCGTGAGGAAGGCGTTGGAGAGAGAAGAGTGTTGTGGTTTCCAATGACACAGCAGAAACAGCGCAGAGTGGACAGTGGTTATTTGTATCTAAATTCGTCATGCTGATCTCGGTGGTGACTAATGAAGGAAAAACCAGAAGGCAGGCATCACTCGGGGCTTTGTCGAGCAGTGGGATCCATTAGAAAACTGTGGTGTTCAATCCTACTGGAAGCTGTCAAGCACTCTCTGGTTGCCATATACCTAGTTCTTTGGCGAGTCCAGAGTGATACCTGTGCTAAGCAGAAAGGTGGCGGAGCTGAGAGAGTGAACCTGGGTTCCGAATATGTGAAGGCGGGAGACATTCTACAATGGTGTGGACAACTAGAGGAACTATGAGCTGATGGTCTTGGGCCCCGGTGTGAGGACAAAACGGTCATTGTGCCTTGGAGGCATGATCTGGGAGACTGAGTGGAATGCTTGGTAGGAAGGATGGGACCCTTCAGTCATGGCCCAAAGTTTAGATGGCATTGATCTGCCACCCCCTGCGTCCCCCCCAGCAAGATGCTGTTGCTGAAGGTGTCAACAATAATTAATGTGATTGTGATGACAGAATAGCCAGCACTGGCATTAGGGCTTGGTGTCCACACTGAACTGGGGAGTCCTGGAGGAATTTGAACGTAGGGAAGACATGTGAAGAGTAGGACTGAAGTTCTCAGACAGCTCTGGATTCATTTGTCTCAATTTGACAGGTTGGTGTGACCTTTGCAGACATTGCCCTGTACTTCTCCAGGGAAGAATGGCGCCTCCTTGATGAAGATCAGAGACGCCTGTACCTGGATGTGATGCTGGACAATTTTGAACTAATATCGTCGCTGGGTAATACGCTCTTTCTCACCAGTGATGAGGACTAGGCTTTGCATTTCCTTATGCCTCCTGCTTTCTAGAGGTTGTTCTCTCCTCATCTGTGGACTGTAAGCACTGCTTGATTTTCCAGTTTTCAGAGTAGTTGCTTTCCTTGCTAGGGCTGGTTGGTTTGCACTGCCCTTTTCTCCCCCTGCAGTACCAAAATCTGTTGTACTGAAGTAATAGTGAAAGATTTACAGTTTATAGTGTTGCAGGGAGCCTAATGAATACGACATTGATTAGTGAGAAAAACCATTTTTTGTGTTCTTTTTGGTCATTTTTATATATATTTTTGGACAGTTGTCCCTACACTTTTGACTAATGAGTCTTTTGAATCCCTTCTGTATTTTATGTATTGGTTTCTTTTTGACCTACTGGTACATGGCTTATTTTTGCTTCAGAGATACTTTTTTAAAAAATATATTTATAATTTCAATGTTTTTGGCAACCCTTTGTTCAGCAAGTCTAGAGTTTCCAGTTTTTCAGCAGGCTCACATGCAGATTATCAATGATTAGTGTTGAATTATTTTTAACTGATGATACAGAGTTTTATTCAGACTAAGGTGTTGCTTTGTTAATAGCCTTCAGTATAGTATTTTTTTTATTATTTTATTATTCACTGGGAAATCAATAAATTGATGTTATTTTTTCTGAACCAAACCCGCAGTATATTTTTATATAGTTTCTAAGTATTTTCTTCCATCCTTGGATTGCCGGTGGTTTTTTTCTTTTCATTTCTTTCTTTTTTTTTTTTTTCCCTGTAGATATTACTGTTTTCTGTTTTTAGATAGCGGTGAAGGGAGGGAAAAAGAGAGGGAGAAAACAGCTAAGTGATAGAGAAACATTGATCCTTTGTCTCTCTCTCCCACCCCAACAATGACTGAACCCCCATCCCAGTCATATGACCTGTCCAGTAGTCCAATAGGCCACCTTTAGTTTTGCAGGGTGACACCAACCAAATGAGCCACACTCCGCAGGCTGCCTTTTCACTTCATTTTGTTAATTGCTGTTGTTTTGTGAAGAAGCTTTTTCATTTGTTGAGGTCAGCATTTTTTTTATTTGCTTTTTTTACCTTGCGGTTGTTCTTACATTCAGAAGAACATTTGAAAAAATATGCCACCCTGACTGATGTGGGTCAGTTGGTTGTACATCATCCTGCAAACTGAGAGGTCACTAGTTGGATTCCTGGTCAGGGAACATGCCTGAGTTGCTGGCCATGTCCGCAGATTGGGGTGTGGGAGAGGCAACAGGTTGATGCTTGGGTCGCATGCTGACGTCTTTCACCATCTCTTTCTCCCCCTCCTCTCCTTTCACAAGAAGAAAGTATAAATAAAATCTTAAAAATAATTGTATAGATTATAAAAAAGCAGACCTCTTAAACCTCTTCTCTAAGTTGTCTTGAAGGAGTTTTAAGTTTATGGGCTGACATTTAATTTTTTCATGCAGTTTGAGGTAAATTGTTTTTAAAGATCTTATTTATTTTTTTAAAGAGAGGGGAAGGGGGAAAGAAAGAGGGAGAGAAACATCAACATATGGTTGCTTCTCACATGCCCCCAACTGAGGACCTGGTCTGCAACCCAGGCAAGTGCCTTGACTGGGAACTGCAACCTTTCTACTCACAGGCCTGCACTTAGTCCACTGAGCCACACCAGCCAGTGCTGCGTTCATTTTGATAAAACACTGTTTAAGTGCTTTGGCTTTGTAATAGGTCGAATTAGGAGGTATAATGCCATCTAGTTTGTTCTTGTGCAAGATTCCTTTTGCTGTTCGAAGTTTTTTGATATTCTGTGTATTTCAAGATTCTTTTTTATGTGTAAAATACCATTGGAATTATCATCAAAATTGCATTTAACCTATAGACTGATTTGGGTATTATAGACATTTTAACGATTTTGACTTAAATTCCTAGACCACTGGCTGTATTTGCACTCATTTGTCATCTCTTTTCTTTTATCGAAGTCTTACAGTGTTCACTGTACAGATATTTCAACTTCTTTGTTTTAATTTATTACTGTGTATCTTATTGTTTTTGATGCTATTATAAACTTGACTACCTTCTTCATTTATTTATTTACTTTTTAATACTGACCTAAGGATATGTATATTAATTTTAGAGAGAATGGGAGAAGGGAGATGAGAGTGAGAGAGAGGAAGGGAGAGAGAATGAATATGAATCATGGATGTGAGAGAAAAATGCTTGGTTGTCTCTTACATATGCCCCAACCTGGGACTCAACCAGCAACTGCTTGTATACCCTGACCTGGAATCAAACCCACGACTCTGGATGTTTGGGACAATGCGCCAACCAATTGAACCATGTGGCCTTAGCTCTTCATTTCTTTATTAAAGAATTTATTATTAATGTGTAGAAATGAAACTGATATTTGTACGTTGGTTTTGTATCCTGTAAATTTTCTCTATGTATTATTGTATTATATTTTTAAAAGATTTTATGTATCTATTTTTAGAGAGAGGGAAGGAGAAGGAGAGGGAGCGAAACATCAGTGTGTGGTTGCCTCTTGTCAGGCACCAGGCACCAGGCACCTGGCCCTCAACCCAGGCATGTGCCTTGACAGGGAATCAAACCGGAGACCCTTCGGCTCTCAGGCTGAGGCTCAATCCACTGAACCTCACCAGCCAGGGCTATTTATGTATTATTAGAAAATTTTTGTTTATTCATTTTAGAGGCAGAAAGGGAGCCTGAGAGAGAGAGAGAGAGAGAAACCTTGGTCTGTGGTTCCACCCATGTATACATTCGTTGAGTGGAACACAGTGTTCCCTGACAGGCATTGAATCCACAGTCTTGGCTCATGGGGTCCGTGCTCTTACCAACTCAGTTAACTGGCCAGGACTCTGAAGTTGTTTATTAATTTCAAAGTTTATAGTTGGAATACAGGTTTTTTCTATGCTGGATAATGGCATCTGCCAACATCTCTTATGAGGTATTGTGTTTCCCAGGGTCAAGTGTAATGTCTTATCCTAAATCATTCTTTAGTGTATGTGAGACTTCTTTCTTTTGTTTTAGTCTAGGTAAAGATTTGCCAATTTTGTGTATCTTTCAAAAAATAGCTCTTAGGTGTTTTGTTTTTTTGGGTCTTATCTCTATTTCATTTATGTTTCTTCTAATATTTAATGTTTTATTTCCTTTGTTAGCTTTGGGTATACTTTCTTGTTGTATTTATCATTTTCTAGGTGTAATGATAGGTTGTTTATTTGAGATCATTTTTCTTAATGTACACATCACTAAAATTTCATCCTAGAATTACATTTCATGCATATTATACATAAGCTTTGGTAGATTGTGTTTCTATTTACTTCGCCTCTAGTTTTTTGTTTTTTTCATTCTCTTGGTTTTTTTTCCTTTTATCCTTGATTGTTCAGGAGTGTTTCGTTTAATTTCAACGTATTTGTGAATTTTCAAGCTTTCTTGAAACTAAAATTGGTTTCAAGATTCATATATTGTGATCAAATAAGAAACGACGTGATTTTTTTCTCAGAGTCTGAGACTTGATTTCTGACCCATCGTATGATCTACATACAGAATATTTCATGTGTGCTTGACAAAATGCATCCTCTGCTGCTCTTGAATGGAATGTTCTGTATATATCAATTCAGACTATTTGCTCTAAGCTGTAGTCAATCTTCAATAACTCATTTCTTTTGGATGGGATGATCTACTTATTTGTTAAAAATTAATATTGAAGTTACCTGCTAATGTTGGATTTCTTTTTCTGCCTTCAGATCTGATATTATTTGCTTAACATATTTGTTTCTTGTGTTGTTTAGTGCATGATACTTAAAATTGTTATACTGTTGATGAATTGATTTATTTTTCATTTGGTCATGATCTTAGTTCCTTGTGACAGTTTTTTACGTGGTCTTTTTGGCTTGATAGAATTTATCTATAGCTACTGTGTTCTGGTTTCACTTGCATGGAATTCTTTTTGTATCTCTTTATTTTAAGCCTGATTGTGTCCATAAAAGTTTACTGTCTTTTGTAGGTAGCATATATAGCATCTCAGTTTTTAAAAATATCTTCAGTCACACAATGTCTTTTTTTAATAGATTTTATTTATTTATTTTGAGAGAGAGAGGAAGGGAGGGAGAAAGACAGGGAAAGAAACATAACATCTATGTGTGAGAGAAACATCAATTCATCAATTGGTTGTCTCTTGCTCATCCCCTACTTGGGACTTGGCCCACAACCCAGGCATGTCCCTTGACTGGGAATCCAACCAGTGATTTTGCAGTTTGTGGGAGGATGACCAACCCACTGAGTCATACCAGCCAGGGCCATTCTATGTCTTTTGTTTGGGGAATTTGTTTCGGAAGTACCTATTGCCACTTCTTCATTGGTTTTGTCCCGTTGCAGTTTTCTTCGTTTGTCTTCCTGCCTTGTGGTCTTGTTTTGTGATTTGATGACTTTGTATAGTGATTTGACTCTTTTCTCTTTTGTGTAATTATTATATATATTTTAGCTGGTGATTTGCAGATGACTTACATAAAACAACTCATGCTCTTTACAATTTATTTTATCCTGATAATACCTTCATTTCATATAAAAATTCTACCGTTTGAATCTCTGCCACATATCCCTTTATATGTTTTTGACTTCACAATTGACATATTTTATATTGTATATCTAATGAGGTACAGAATGTTATTTTCATTGTTTTTATTAGATTTAATTTTAAACCTTTATAATATTTACATAACATACCTTCTACCAATCCAGTGCTATAGTATAGTGAATTTGATTTCATTCTCACCCTTACTAGTGCAAATCATACTTCCCTGTGTATTCAAATTTCTTTTTAGTATTCTTTCATTTTATCTTAAAGAACTTTTTTCTTTTGGCATTTCTAATAAGTTAGGTTGAGTGGCAGTGAACTTCCTTAACTTTTGTTTCTGGGGAAATATTTCTTTCTGAAGACCAGGTTTTCTGGATAAAATGTTAATGGTTTTCATTTAGGGTTTTGGATATATTTTATTTTCTCCCAGTCTGCAATTTTTTTAAGTATATTTTATTGATTATGTTGTTATAGTTATGCCATTTTTTCCTCCCCTTTATCCCTCTCTGCCTGGTACCCCCATTCCTCCTAGCATTTCCCCCTTAGTTCATGTCCATAGACCATACATATCAGTTCTTTGGCTTCTCCATTTCCTATACAATTCTAAACCTTCCCCTGTCTATTTAGTACCTACCATATATGCTGCTTATTCCCTGCTCCTTTTCAGGCTGTGCATTGATATCCATTTGTTTGGTTTCAGTTATTGGAAAATTATTATATTCTTTTGGTACAATTCTTGTTTTTAGTATTTTTTTAATCCTGTATTTATGTCAGTGCATTTGATGAAGCAGTAATGTCTTTCAAATTTATGGACCTGTTCTGGCTAGAGAAATAGATTCATCTACATGTCAATTTAAGAGTTGGCTGGGTTGGTATTTTGTTTCAGTCTTGAGACAAATCCCAGCAGTCTAATTTTCTTGATGCTACATGAGCTGATGTCAGAATAACAAAAAATGTACCAGTCTACAATTGCTTTGGCAGCATTTTTTTTTTTTTAAATGACAATGGAGGGTTTTGGATTCCCTGGTGGTCGCAAATACTGCTGGGACATACTGATTTTTGTGGTCTTCTAGACTAGGTGTTGGACAAGGGATTTGTTCTGGATATAATGCTGAGAAACTCTGTAGGGTCCCCTGATTTGTAAAGTGGGGAGTTCACGGATGTTGCAGGGACTTCTTTGATTCTTAAAAACAGAAATATCAAGTGTTTTTCACTGAACAGTCCACTAAGTTCAACCTTAGAGCAATTAGTGGTTGAAAAAGGTAACTTAACCCTTGTTTTTGACCTAGCCATCATGAAACATGTTTGCTAACCCATCTTCCAGTGATCCTTTCTATGCTGTTATACATCTTTTCCACTTTGGCTTTGCTGCTTATCTTTGTTTATTAATTGATTAGAGAGATAAGGGAAAAGGAGAGAGAGAGAAAAATCATCCATTTGTTGGCTCCACTCATTTTTGCATTCATTGGTTGGTTCTTGCATGTGCCCTGTCTGGGAATCGAACCTGCAATATTGCCATGTCAGGATGATGCACTACCAACTGAGCCCCTTGTGAGGGCTAATTTTCTATTAGTCTTAATGGGATTTTTATTCCACTCTCCCGTGATTGATTCTGTTTATACGTAGCTGTCGACTTGTTCTAGAAGAAGAGAGAATTCTCTTATTTCTCATTGAGCCATCTTGAAGTCACTCACATAGAACTTATTTCTGTGGTACCTTTTGTGCTTTGATGTTCTACTGCAGTGCTGGCCATGTATCTCTTCAGTTTTTCTTTTACAATTTATATCATTTGTATTCCATGTAATGTCTCAGTTGGGATTTAAGGGGAAGAATCATTTATGCATTCCAAGAAAAATACTGCTCCGTGTATGGCAGGGTGGATCCAAAGGCAGTCGTGCCTTGCTGGAGGGCTGTTGTAGAGGGTTTTACTCATAGGCTTTGTTAAATTCATAATTAGAAACCTATTTTATTTGAAAGTTTTTTGTGACCATAGCCAGTTAGTCACCCCATTCTACTTATTTTTATTTATTATTGACACTTTGTCAACCACTCAGTTTTCAGTCTTCATTTCACTCCGATTCCCAGCCTACAGATAATCTTCACTTATCTAAACTTTTCATCTCAACCATTTCTCTTACGGGGCGGGGGGGGTGGTGGTGGTGGTGGTGGTGGTGGTGGTGGTGGTGGTGGTGGTGGTGGTGGTGGTGGTGGTGGTGGGTGTGTGTGTGTGTGTGGGGTGTGTGTGTGTGTGTGTGTGTGTGTGTGTGTGAGAACTGCACTCTGGTCTTTGCTTGCAAACACTTGGAGTGCGCATGTATCATTGTGTTGACTTTGAACATGATATGCTCCAGTACAGTTGAAGTTGATGAGTTTGAGATAATTCAGATTACTCTGCACAGCCTCACATTGCCAGAAGAAAAGGTGTTACAGCAAACCATTTGTGGAAGAACAACTAGTAGACCCTGTCTCTCTTCCTTGTGGTTCATCCTTTGCTTGCATCTCTTCCTTGGTGAGGTCACCACCACTGACAGACTTTTGGGGCAAAGTAAAGTATAACAGCCATTTCTTCAGTGTCTGACTCACTTGTATTGAAAATGGTTTCGTAGACTTATACTTAGCTGTGACACATGGCCATGTGTGATGAGGATATTTCTTCTTTATAAGGTTAACATGTACTTCACCAGCATTTCCTTTTGTTCAGGTTGCTGCTGTGGAGCAGAGGATGTAGAAGCACCGAGTGAACACAGTGTTTCTGAAAGGGTGTCACAGGCAAAGAATCTCAAGGTAGCATTGTCGTCAGAGAAGAGCCATCCCTGTGAGAGGTGTGGGCCCGTCTTGAGACATATTTTCCACTTGATCGAGCATCAGGAAGCACAACACAGCCAGAAACTGCTGAGGTGTGGGGCATGTGCAAAACGATTTTATTTCAGTACAAAGTGTGAGCAGCACCAGGAGCACCACGTGAGAGAGAAGCCTTTCATAAGAGGTGTGGACAGGATGTCATTTGCCAAGGTTTGCAATTATAATGTTTCCCAGGAGATTTTTTCCTGTAGGGAGGTTGGATCGGACAACTTTACTGACTCAGAGCATCTCCAACAAGGGGCTTCTCACACCAGGGACAGGCCGGATGAAATCTTGGCATCTCGAGTGACTATTCAGCGAAAAAATTATTCCACCCTGAATGAATGTAAAGAAGCTGTTGACTGCAACCACACATATGTTCAGAACAAGGGTGTTTCTCATTGGAGACAGTGTTTTGTGAGCCATGGTTGTGGAAAATATTTTACTAGAATTCCTAGTTTTTGTTATCATCAGAGAGTTAGCGCTGGACAAAAGCTGTATCAGGGCAGTGAACGTGGGAAATCTTCCATCCGAAAGGGTGAACGTCATTCTTATCAGAGAGTTCATAATGGAGAAAGGCCTCATGAGTGCAGTGAATGTGGCAAATCTTTTAAAACAAAATCTATGCTTCGTCGTCATCAGGCAGTTCATACTGGAGAAAGGCCCTATCAGTGCAGAGTATGTGGGAAATCTTTTAAAAGTACCTATAACCTTTATTGTCATCAGAGACTTCACACTGGAGAAAGGCCCTATGAGTGCAGTGAATGTGGAAAATCTTATACCACTAGCACTAGCCTCCATTATCATCAGAGAGTTCACACAGGAGAAAGGCCGTATGAATGCAGTAAATGTGGGAAATCTTTCAGCAGTAGCACTAACCTCCATTATCATCAGAGAGTTCACACAGGAGAAAGGCCTTATGAATGCAGTGAATGTGGAAAGTCTTTTTGCAGTAGCATTGGCCTCTGTATTCATCAGAGAGTTCACACAGGAGAAAGGCCTTATGAGTGCAGTGAATGTGGGAAATCTTTTTGCAGTAGCACTGGACTCCGTTATCATCAGAGATTTCACACAGGAGAAAGGCCTTATGAATGCACTCAATGTGGGAAATCTTTTAAAAGAGTGCATCACCTTCATTGTCATCAGAGAGTTCATACTGGCGAAAGGCCTTATGAGTGCAGTGAATGTGGGAAATCATTTCGTGGTGTCACTGGCCTCCATTTTCATCAGAGAGTTCACACCGGAGAAAGGCCTTACGTGTGCAGTCAATGTGGGAAATCTTTCATCCAAAAGCATCAACTTCATCGTCATCAGAAACTTCACACAAGGGAAAAGTCTTAGAAGTGTAGTTAATGTGGGAAATATTTTAGCCAAAGTTCTATCCTTCCTCCACACATAATAGTTCACATTGGAAGAAAGGTCTTAGATGTGTAGGAAATGTATAGGGTTTTTTTTTTCCGTCTTAACAGTACTGTAGGATACCCTTTTAAGCCTTGTGTTGGGAATCAAACCTCATATAGCCAAACACGAACAACAGGGAGGCTCCACATGATTTTTCTCTATATGGGAAGCCTGTGTACCCATGTTGCACTTTACTTATTTATCCATCCAGGTCTGTTTATCCATGCATGTCACTGCAAATTTCTGTACTGAAGATATTTCACCTGCAGCACCTATAATATTCCCAGAGATGCATGAGTCATCACCCTAATATGCTCAGAGAAGGTAACTGTTCTCTGATTTGTGGGGGAAACTGAGGAGTAGCCTAACTTTGTGCAGCTTTATTCCTTGCACTCCTATTAGTTGGTGCAGCTCTTACTCAGTTTTGGTCCAGAGAAAATCATCTGAGTTCATCTGTCAACTTGCAGTAGGACTGCTTTTTTTGGGACATGCTTTTTTTACATACCAGTGGTAATTTTTGAGTGTCTTCAGTCACCAATACAAGAACTGCCAAGCTAATTACATTTTGGTTTGTAAAATAAGGCCTTTTTCCTAAGTCGTCTTTAATCTTGGGTGCTCTGTTTATTGTGTGGGGTATTTTATAAACAGTTTTGTGCCCTACAATCATAAAGATGTGAACAACTTTTATGTGTGTCTCAAACTTTCTCCACCTCCATGGGGACAGTTTGGTACAGAAATTAACTTAGCATTTTTTCCAGGCTTGCATTCCTACTCATATCCTCCTAGGCTAACTCTGCGCTCCCTAGTTCCCATGAGAAGCTTTAATGCTGTGAGTTTCAGAAGACACAGCAATCATTCCAAAGAAGGGGTAGCTATGATGACCTCCAATATATCTCAGAGCAGGATGAATTTTTCTTTTTTGTAAAGAGTGCCAATAGTTGTTAAGGGAGTCCCTGGCGCAGGTCTTGCAAAGGGTCATGTGCCATAAAATATGCAATTACACGGGTGATGGTCACTAGTTATAGCACCACTCGGGTTACGGGAAACTGTGATTGCAACAGAAATGCTGGGTTAACAGGTGCTGGAGGAGACTGGAGCCAACTAGATGGAATGTGTCTCTTCGGAGCTTGAATCCAGAAACGTTTCTGAGAAAAAGGCTGCAGGATCATTGTCTACACAAATCACTGGATTTGTCATTGTCATTGTCATTGAATATAATCAAAGGTTTTCTGACTGTAACAATATTGCTCAATTGGTTAGAGTATCATCTTGATATGTCAATATTCTGATTTCAGTGTCTGGTCAGGGCACATACCAGAAGCAAGAGAAGAACAACAAATCCAGATTTTTCTCTCTCCCTCAGATAGATAAAACTTTTAAAAAATGTGGATGGTTGTTGCCTCTCAGATGTTCATGTCAGAGCCACTGGTGCCCCTGTAGATGTATCTGTGGTTGAGGAATGTTGCTATTTGACCCAGCCAGCAGTCTTGCTGGTTTCAGTGAATTTTTATAGTTGGCAGTATTTGCCATCACTGAGGAAAACTCTCATCCAGAGCATATGAAAATATGTTTTGAATATCAAATTGCTAGGCCTATTTTCAGAAATATTTGGACATACAAATTTTTTAGATCTTGTACCATTTTTTAAAAGGTTTAATTAGTAAATACTACATTTCAATGATAATTGATCAGTCTTCACTTAAACATGATACTGAAACAATCACCATTTGTCATAATATTCTGTTACTATCACTGGGAATTTACTTCATGGACATTTTAATCTCAGCCCTTCATAGCTCTGTAAGTAAACATTGATTTACATTCCATTGTAATAACAATAATCGTATTTTTCTGCTTTCATTTACCTTGCAAATGTATTTACAGACTTATTGATATATTAGTAACTCATCTGTATTAGCTGAGAAATAATCTTTAAAATTAGCACTATGAATTTATCCATTCAAAATGATAAGTTCTAATTTTTTTACTTCAAAGCTGATACATTTATGTATAATTTTCTTATATGGACATACATGTTTCATTTACCTTAGTTAAAAGAGATTCAGCTCTTTTACATCCTAGCAAATACTTGGTTGGTAAATCATTTATTTCAACTTTAAAAAAAGAACATTGTATAGCTACCTCACTGTTGTTTGTATTTTTCTAAGGGTTTATGGTGAGCCTTTTCTCAGGTGTATATTTGTTATGTCTCTATCTTTGCTAAATGTCTGATCCTATGTTCTACCTAATCTGAGTTTTTGGTGGTTTTCTATAACAAAAGGACAAACAACAAAGATGCATGTTGGAATTCCATTTCTGTTTTTTTCTTGCTTTATTAAGTATTCTTTTGTTATTGGAATGATGTTTTGGTATTTTGTACTGCTTTTATACTTTGCACAATGCAATGGGCAATTTTTATTTTCATTTCCGGTATTAACATTATTAGTTTAAAAAGTCCAATAATTTTGTAGAGTTGCTGAGCTGGAGGTCCCCCAAAATGGAGAAAACCCCCATAGCTATCACTTGGCAGATGAGGAATCAGAGCAGGGCCTTTGAGAGCTACTTTGTATATCTGAAAAACTTGGCCAGAGTTTTAATAATGTTAAAAGCTGTGCCTGCTCAGAGCCAGGGAGATGGGCACACTCCAACCTGTGATGTGTTGTAGCTGGAGGGGCTTTCTGCACCTGCCAGAGTGGCTTGGAGGCATCTTCTGTTTCACGGGTCCAAGCTTGCCTGGACTAACAATGGCAGTTGACAAAGACAGAAGAAACCGTACTACGGGCAGATGAAACCCAGTGTGAGAGGAGTTGGAAGTGGGGTTATGGAGGAAGTTCCATGTTGGGCTTTAAAACTGAGGTATGGCAGCCATGCTGGGCTTTCCCATATAGTTTGGGAGTGGAGAAGGAGCTGTCTTGGCCACATGATTTGTAAAGATGCAGAAGGATTCCCCGGCCCACCATGAAGATGCAGTTTTGGATTAGGAACAGCAGCCCAGCTGAGCTATGGACTATTATTTCTTTTCCTGAGGTACAGTACCCCTAACTGGCCTGGTTTGGCAGATGGGGGCAGGACTGTGTGTGTGGGTGTTTCTTTGTTTCTAAAGGGAGTGAGATTTAATGGTGACATTCCACCATTATTCTGAACCTGTATAACTTCTGAATAAATAGTTCTTTTTACCAAACTCGCGTTGAGAGCCACAGTTTTTTATTGGCAGGCAAAAACCATAAATTAATAGACACATTGGGGATTTTCTTTAACAACTTCATGTTACAGTAAGCCCTTATTTTGTATTTCGTTTCATTTTTTTGGTCTATCATGGAGGGTCTTGGGTTGGAACAGGTTTCTAAAGGAGACCAGATGGCATTATGGGGGACAGGCTACTTTGGACTCGGAAAGCTCAGGACAGAGGGCAGCAGGAGGACAGTGATCAGACATCCCATGCTCTGGGTCAGGCAACTTGGATTTCAATTCCAGATTCTTAAATATCTTAGGGACCTACAAAGAAACTGTTACAGGGCAGGAACTTGCCTGGAGAATGCCCTCTTCAGGCCCCTTATAGTGTACACGGTTTTAACTTTGTGTAGGAAATATTTCACAACATGGGTCCAGGTGATTTTTGGAGTATGTTTATTAAGGTTGAGGATAGTGAAACAATGGAAGGACTTGCGGTAGGCGAAGGAACAGGAGAGAGGGTAGGTCGTGCTGTGCTTTGGCTCATTAGAAAAGTTTTAAGGAATGAGACATGGCAGGGCTGCTTTTAGCTCACTGGGAAGTCAGAGAAAAGGGAGCAGACAGGTTCAGTGGGGTATATCAAGGTCGAGCTGCCAATGACTGCCTTGTCATGGGGGTACTTAAAGTTCAGGAGGAAGTAAAAACTACGTGCCAGGAACGGGGCATGGCTGTGCTCATTGGACCCTGAGTTTTTGTCCTGAGAGCTTTTTATTTCTATTTTGTCTGTGACAGTCTTAGGGGGTTGGGATTATTTTTTGGTTTGCTGTAATGTTTTAATTTATCTTTGCTTTTTAATGTGATTTTTCTTATTTCCGTGACTCCATCTGTCCTTGGGTATAGCTGGCAAAAGTGATATTAATTGGATCTCCGTTCTCTTTTCCAGACCAATGTCATCTGAGGTATTTATATCTGGTTAGGTAGAAGTATAGACTTGTACTCGAGTATTTTTGGTTAGAGGAGATAAGGTCTTGCGATTTACCAGCTGGCTGGAAATTGCTGAAACTCTTGTCTCAGTGTTTTTATTTTACTGGCCCAGGAATTTTCCTAGTTTCTAACTACATAAAAAAAGGATTATATACCCAAATAATTATTTACGAGGCTCTCCATTTGCAACTTCTTCAGAGGTAACGTGTTAGGGTTTGTGTGATAATGAGTTCCACCATTGAAAGTGGTAGAACTGTAAGCAGGGGCAGGTGCCAGCAGTTCTGTAGGAGAGGACGAATTAAACAGCTGCAGCTGCTTTTTGTGGGGCAGAATGGGAGTGAGCTGGGAAGCAGGCTCTTCCACCCTCAGGATGGGTTCTGCTTGAGCATCTAGAGACAGGCTGCCCTCTTATTGGGGCTGTGACGAAGGTGTTTTCTAAATCATCTCACTTGGTAGCAGAAACATTCTACAAGACTATTAAATTCTTATCTTGGCGAAGGGCCATGAACATCTGAAGATAAGGTACTTCATTCCATTTGCCTTCATTTTTGCAAAACACATCTAGCTGGGGAACAGTGTTAAAGTTTAGAGATCCAATTACAGGTCAGACCTTTCTGTCCTTTAGTTTATATTGAGGCCAGCGACATTGCAAAGGAAAAAGGCACTTTTTCTTTTGATCATCGCCCTTAAGTTGGACTAATTGTTAAGGAGACACTCTGGAGGACAAATCTTGGGGAATGCTTTGATGCCACCCATTTTGTCTCTGTTTTACCAGGTCAGTATAGCTGACAACTGATCATGAGGTCCCCAGTGCCAGGACACAGGGCACTGGATGAAGCACCCATTCAGTATATTCTTAAGAGTTCTATAAATTTTTGTCCTGTTTAATGGTGTGATCTGAAAATTTATTTTTAGAAATTTGTAATTTAGAATATGTAAGACTTCTGCCGTGGGTTTTTAAAAGATGAGACGTATCTGTAAATGTATTAGGATAAAACGATGACTGTCTTTATATGACAAAACAAAGATGACCCACTCAGATCTGATTATAATGTAATTGTTATGGATCCACATCCTTTGTACAAGACACAGCATTTGAAAAGAACCTTAATAGTGTGAATGAATGTATCAGAACTTTGCAGACTTTTGGAGATTTTTATACAACCTCTAGATTTTAACAATAAGAATATGTGTATACAAGTAGAACCTAGTTACAAATTCTTTAATTAGAAAACCTCATGCATGTTAATCATATGAAGTAGGCCTAATTAGTTCAAAATTTCTGTCTTGTAACGAGAAAGAAGAAATCCTTGAGATATTTCAGGGACCCACTTAAATATCTCAAAAATATTTCAACAGGGAGTCTTGGCCTCTACAGAGAGCCAAGAAAGTCTTTTATTTTTTATTTTATTTTTTTAAAGATCATATATATTTATTTATTTTCAGAGGGAGGAAAATGGAGGGAGAAAGAGAGGGAGAGAAACATCAATCGGTTGTTTCTCACACGCCCCCAGCTGGGTACCTGGCCCACAACCTGGGTAAGTGCCATGAACAGGAATCTGACCCCTGACCCTTCGCAGGCTGGTGCTCAATCCACTGAGCCACACCAGTCAGGGCAGTCTTTTAAAATGTAAGCTCTGGGAAGCTTGCCAAACATATTTGACCTAAGGATTATATATTGTTATGAAATAATATATCACTCACTTACTGGAGGTGATAATAAAAAGTGTGAAACATTCGTGCATAATGGCAAAATTTCCGTTCTTATGATCAAAATGATTTTCTTCAAATTTAATCAAGTATCTGATTAACACAATATGACACACAAATGTTTTATTAAAAGAGTCTCACCTTTCTAGGCAGATAAAAACTTTTTCCCCATTAACATACTGAAGTAGATCCAAATTCTGTATTAGTTTACTTTTGATATTTGGATTCATTTGCCTGATTTAATTATTTAGCTAATCTATATAATTTCAAGGTGTCTTTATAAACCTTTAACTTATATAATAGATCTGCAATTTACACAGTTCTTTTGCTTTGTTTATTAAGTCATTTAGAAAGAGCCAACTTTAGAACAAATTATTTTCTTCAACACCTGTTTTCATATTTTATATCTTTTATTGGGATACCATATGTAACGCAGTAGCTGCAAAATGGGCAGTTACACTGCACTTGTGTTTGTGATACTGTGAAAAAAATACCACCTGGAGGACCAGCAGAGGTGCACATACTGTGGACATACCATTTATTACTCACGTTACAGGGGGGCGCACCAATAGCTGGTGACTGATCAGTGCAACATGACTGCACCGTCACCAGCCTTAGTGCTACTTAGAGGTTTAGGGAGGAAGCGGTGGCAGTGGGGATGGAGCCACAGTGGTGCATGAGAATGCTGCAGCGTTTTGATAAACACAGGGTTCTTGAGAAGGCTGGGAGATACAGGCTGTTTTCCTTGCTCCTTATGGCTGCTGGCCAGGCAGCCCCCTGTTTTCTGAGCTGGAGGGGGCCATACCTAGAGCTACCCCACACACCACCCCAACATTGCTTCGTCACCTCACAGTCTTTGCCTTAGTTTTTTTGGACAAGAAGTCCCTGGTGGTGAAAGCATGGGTGCATTGAATCTCTATACTACAAATATAGTACAAGCCATACCTCCAGAGGAGAATTGGAAGGCAGAGGCTGAGAATACCAAGGAGGA